TTCTATCCGTTACCCTAGTATCCCATAACACAAGCCTTACAGTGCTTACTTTGGGGCTAGGCTAATTGGTGTGAGTGTTGGAAATATTTATTATGATTTATCTCTTATCTATTAGACAAGTCCGTCCGCCCGTCCGTGGTGCTGTTTCAGCGGCCAAACCGTAAGAGATAGATAAAGAGAATGTTTAAGTTATAAGTTAAGAATAGTCTGATAAGACTACAAACCGGATTTGAGTAACGTAGCACTTCCGGTTTTCGAGAAATAACGTGATTTCTATTTCAAACGAAACCACACAAAATCTCCGAAGTTCTCAATTAATTAAATACATTTTTTTTTGGTGAACATTTGCTTCACTGGTTTGCTAGTTTATTTATAACATGGAATGTAAGACCTTCCCCCCAAAGTTTTTATATTTAGCGTTATATTATTGCGATACCTGTTTTTAGTAAATTATGTATGCTTTGATAATTACGACGCAATAGAAGTATGACGAAATATCGTAACCCATCCGATATTATCGACCGATATTACCTACTGTGCCTATGAGAGGGAGGTTTTAGTCAGCAGATGCTACTGAGTATTTACACACTACGTTTTGAAGTGAAACTTCTTTAGGCACGCTTGACTTGGGGGGTAAACTGGCGAATGTGTTACGATTTCGCGTTACGATTAGTGTCAGGTGACTCATCGGTACAGAATGAACAATACCCGTCACAAAATACATGAATCTAGTGCTTGGTGGGTGATATCGGACCCAGCGCGGATTGGTGGGTGATAACGGACCCAGTGCGGATTGGTGGATGATAACAGACCCAGCGCGGATTGGTGGGTGATAACGGACCCAGTGCGGATTGGTGGGTAATAACGGACCCAGCGCGGATTGGTGGGTGATAATGGACCCAGTGCGGATTGGAGGGTGATAACGGTCCCCGCACGGATTGGTGGGTTTTTTTCTATCATCTTCAGGTTAAGTTTATTTTTTTCAGATCATTGAAGCTAAGGAAGTTTTACTTCAGTCGTGTGGTAATAAGCACACTCGTTTATTTTTAGTTTACTGGGGTAATATTTACATTTGTCCATTCTCTTAAACACAGGAACACGACTGACAGGCTGCTAATTTTCTGTTCGTAAATTAAAATGACTGCGTGTGTCGATTAAATTTTAAGTTTGATCAAAGATGGTTGTGTCAATTTCTCTGTGATAACAATATAATGAGGAAACCAAGAAAACACTTGAACTAATGAAGCATTGAACTTAGGTGACGCTCTGTGTCTGATCTGTACACTATTCAAGGGTCTAATTGGATATACCGCTACCTTCTCTTGCACCAACATTTGTTAAATGTGGTTTCAAGGTATCTTTTGATCTTCTTCTTTCTTCTCTTCTCTCTCTTGAAGATTCATTTGAGTTGTTTATGGCTATTCGATCGCTTTTTGTATAAGAGAGTAATTAATTGTGTGTACGCATAATGAGGTCTATGAAATAATTTGTCATCGTACCAAAAAAAAAAAATTAAAACAATTCACTAGTGACTGTGAGATTACTTTGCTGTCAAAGTAATCTCACAGTCACTTACCACCTCGGAAAGTGTAAAACTTATAACTATCAAAGTAATACCTACTAAAGTGCGTTTCATGGTTATTAAAATGAACAAGAATTTATTGATATTAATTAAATTCTTAAGTTTTTATTAAGAGTTTTCCAAAGAAAAGTGGTTTTTCAATTGGGTTAATCGGAGTAAAAACGTAGCAAAAAAGCCCACGTCTGAGAAAACTAATGGAATGGACAAAAAAAGGTGTTGCCGACTCGAGAGGTCCTAGGTTTGAATCCCGGTGGGGGCAGATGTTTGTGTGATGAATACGAACACTTGTTCTCCAGTCATGGATGTTCAATATGTATTTCTATATGAATATAGTATCAGTATATGTTATATGTATCAGTATATGTATTCTATACGTTACGCTAGTTTCCAATAACACAAGCCTATAGTGCTTACTTTGGGGCTAGGCTAATTGGTGTGAATGTTGGAAATATTTATTTATTTATTAGCGAAGTACAAAAGACGGCAACAAAAATCAGATAGTAATCACTAATATTTACAACAAAATTATCTCGTTCGTTGTGGTTAGTGAACGTAAATATAGATCGCTCGTCCCAAAAAGTTGTCTTCAATTGTCGTCGCCTTAACATCGTTCGGTTTTGTGGTTCATTAATGTAAAGAAACGATCACCGTAAAGTTTCTTTTTCCGGTAGATTTTGAAACTCGCTGTAGTTAATACATAAATGCCATTAGTGTTCACGAAACGGTATCTTTATGCCGCTGTTATACTGTGGGAACTTATCGTTACAGTTTCTGATTTACATGAAGTAACTATACATACGTTAATGCAGATATCACGGTTAATTGGCTGTGTTTATTTAACGCTTTCATGGTTATTAAACCGAATATTGATTCAAATGTTCTGATGTATCTGAACTTGGTAGTTTTTCGGCGTCGATATGAGAAAGCAACCTGAATTACCTTAGCGGTAAGTTTAATATAATGTGCAATTTATGTTATAGCTTTATAGGGCAATGCAGCTTTCGTTCTTTGATTACTTGTATACGAACGAGCACGTCTCAGAAATGTAATTTAAATGCTTATTGATACTGCTCAATGAAGCAATACTGTCGAATTACGAATGGAGTTTCAATGGTTGAGCATATATTAGAACGAAGGTTCATTGTAACCGGACAATTGCAGAACTTTCACGATTATAAGTTAATTCAGTTTGATGAAAGAGTCGAGTGAAAGCGATATTGCCAGGAAAAAAAATGAAAATCCGTGTCACTTAACTTTTCTACTCTCGTATTTTGCGAGGTCGATCTTGACCCGAATTAAGTTAAAATAAAGGCATTGCACGCCTGAGATAGTACTGGAAGAAAAACAGTAAGTACATAATGTAATTTCTCAAAGACGATTTCATTTACTTAGTAGTGTAATATATAATATCCCTCTAATTATGTTATCAGCCAACCGTTCATTTATAGATGTCTCACTCAAATAATTGATCACGTGATTGATTCGCAAATAATTATTGGCTGCTTTATTAAAACTTCATTTTATAGTAACGTTGTTGGTGGTAGGGGGGGGGGGGTTAAGATTGAATACTGACACTTAAAAATCTAATAAGAAATTTGGTTGTGATTGTGAATTATATGTATATATATATTACATACACGAGCAAGGCTTGCCTTATAAAAATCTTAAGCCAACCTTTCTAGACTTCTGTACCCAAGGGAAACCGCATTGCTGTCCCTCTATCCGTCTGTCCGAATGTCACGTGTCTCTACAACGTTAGCATAGTTATCATTGTCGTTTCTTTTATATATTAAAAGGAGACTATTTATTTTTTCTTCACACAATCATCATTGTCTAGATCTCGTTGAGTACGATATAAATATAATGTTTATTATTTTCAATAACAAACAAAAGTGGAGGCTGTCAAAGATGTAATTTTTCGATCATCTTTGTTACGGAGTCTATCTCAAAATCTAAAAATTAATTTCCTAATTCGATTTGCTTTCGTTAAGTTTTAAATTGGTATTTTGTTACTGTACAGCTACAAATATATAGTACTAGTTTACAAGTATACTAGTTTATTTGAGCAAAATTTGGTAAAATAAATATTATTCGTTGTACTCATAATCAAGACTATAATACTAATCACATGAGTCAAACAAGGCACCAAGCTGTCAAATTATAATCACGCATGTCTTTCTTTCTGATGATAAATAATCTTAACCTGTACAGTTTAACAATGTCTATTCTAAGCGATAGCTTTTGTTGCTAATTCGATCTGTCGTGAAAATAAATAATGATATTATTGAATGCAGATAAGATCGCACATAAACGTCATTGTTAAACGCTGACCGGCTTTCGTTTTTACTCATTGTCAATCGACAATAGTGAACGCGAGAGTTAGCGACCCTCAGTACTTAGTACTCATAGTTTTTATAGAACTTTCTACACTAGTTGAAGTTATTTTATTTAAACACGTCTCGGGCACTGTCCGCTCGGCGCGGCAGGGCGCTGTCAACAATTCACAGTGGGACGATTTCATGTTTTTTCCCCTTGCAGTTAATAAATTATTGAATGACAAAACAAATAATATCATGGTATTTGAACTTTGCAGAGTATTTACGTTTTTTATGTTGTGTTGGGTTTCTGTTCTAACTGTTATGAAATTATAACTGCTGTCTAAATCTAAAGAGTATTAATATCAAATATCTATTTTGAAAATTTCAATTTCGATTTTGTTATTTATTTGAAAATTATCAGGTTGAGTTTAAATGTCAATGTGTTTCCAAGTCATTGTTATAAGCTAATGTGACATTACTTCACAATGTAGCTTTTTTTATATGCATATGCGGATCTCTATCTCTGAGGTCAATTTATCAATGAGAAAACTATATTTTCTGTATTATTACCAGTATGGGAACGAAATTACCACCATACCATAGTGGTAATTTCGTTGTTCTCTATTCCCTTACGACTACGTTACTTACATATTTCCATACGATTACGTAGTAAGTAGTTCAACGATTTGTTAAGATAGATAAAGCAGCAAAAATGATAAAGTATTTATATAATTGCTTTTTAGTTAGTTTAGTTTTTTGAGAATCCCTCAAGAACCTAAAATTTTTTAGGGGAATAAAGTATTCCATGTCGCAATCTAGGAAATAAACTATATGTGGGCCAAATTTCATCCAAATCCGTTCAGCCGACTTTGCGTGATTGAGTAATATGTAAATGTACAAACTTTTGCGTTTATAATGTAGAATGTATAAACTTTTCTGGAATGAATGTAAGTCGAAGTCGTTTAGCTATCAGTAAGGTTTTATTTGTTCTTTATTTATTTAGAGGCTTTTATTCTACGAATATGCCAGCCTCATCGTACCCTAACCAAAACATATACAACTAATTTTATTTATTAAAGGCGTATCATTTTGTTTGACAGTTGGCGCAGCCGTCGGCATGAAGGGTGATACGCTGCGCGTGGCGCGGCTTGCCTTGGTACTACTACAAGCATCGTTTGCGTTCAGTAAGTGCTAATTATCTATTATTTTTTCTTTTCAGGCAGTTGTCCCAACACAGGCAAGGAAAAGTCTAACTATCGGGTATTTTCTCGCGCATGAAACGTAAATAGATATACCTTCCGTGTCAACAAAAGAGATGCAAATATTGATAGTTAATAGCTGATTAATCGCTAATACACTAATTTATCGCTGAGTGACAAGAGCTATCAAAGATACTACACGCTCAGAGATACTGGCTCAGCGAAATTCGTTTGTATCAAAACGCGAGCGCGTGCATTTTTGCTCACGATTTACTCCGCGAGCGAGTGGCGCCAGTAATCGCCCGTCGTACTCGCACACTAGCTTATAGTCCAGTCATAAAACTAACGGAACTACACACTCGCTTCCCGCTGCTCGCCAACTCATTTCGTGTTTCCAGTTCTACTCGCTTTTCGTTCATCGTTAGCGATGGGTCAAGTGTCCTTTTAGTAGGTATTGGTTTTAATTTTGTGTAAGATGGTAAAACATCATTTTATTCATTTTATCGGTCATATTCAAATGTAGAGCATAAAATACAATTGCCAATTGATGCTTTGATGCTTACGTGGATTGGTCATTTTATTTTTGGGCTGTATTTTTTCGTTTATGCACCAATTTTTAAGATCTTTAGGTATAAACTTACATAAAATAGTCGCTGAATAAGAATGATGACTAACTATTTTTTTCTTCGTCTATCAGGTAGATTATAAAAAAGTATTGGACAAGTTTGTATTTTTTCACAAAATCAAAACATTACAGAGGTATATTCATTTAAAATGTCGCGTGGCGTCATGTTTTTGTAAACAAATACTAAAAAATGACGTCACGAGCCCCCCCTTCTAAACTTTAACGCGCTTTATCCTTGTGATTTTTTGGTTGATTGATAATATAAAAAATAGTTCACATTGTTTTTGTTAAATTGTCTGACGTACTAAATAGAACATGGGTTTACTTTACAAGTCATCATCCTTAATGCATTTCAAGAAACATTTCTAAATGTTTTCCTCAGTTACATTCAAGTAGTGGGTGACTTGAATGAGACAGCTTATACACCCACTGCATTTAGATGAGAAAAATAATCAAGGCTGTTAAGTGTAGTGGTATGTGGAAAGCACGTTTGATCCCATGTTTATATTCAGAGCGCATCCACTCAAGACGTACTCGTATCTTTGGAATTTAACGCGAGCGACAATTTGCAGGAGTTTCAAATTTCTTTACAAAATGTCAACTCCTTAAGGAGAACCTTAGAAATGTTTATTTTCCTGTTATTTTGGTAAAATTTTCACGTGATTTAATTTTTTTGGATAATTAGGTAAACTGAAAAAATATTAAAGCATAGATGATATAAAGACATCCAAAGCAATTCAATTGGGTTTGTAGTGACTCGATTGTGAAAGGTAGATATTGATGTCGATTCTGGCATTATTCTCTAAAGCTAAACTTAAATTTGACAACAGTGCATCCCTGTTATTCTCTATACAGAATGAAAAGGAGAGACTGATGTTAAATTTAGTTTTAAGTTTAGAGAATCACGCCAGAATCGACACCAATGGCTTTGAGTTCCTTTGATAACTCAGTCAAGTTTATTTCTTTAGATTTAAAAATGTAGTAGATTTTCTTTAATTAGAATAAAAAAATCTATAAAGTCTGATCTTAAAATCGGTCGTATACGAATAGGGGGCAAATGGCGCGAATTTTGGGCGACGAACTATAAGAGCAAGCGCACAATTAGCCACTGCCACCACACAAGCTGCTGTGCAGTTTTTTCATACATTTTGTATAGAATTGGCGCAAACTAAGTGTTTAAAGGGCCGCCACTAAGCCACTAGCAGCGTTTAGTGGCTGCAATTAGTGGCTCAATGTCCGCTTGCTTAGCGCTTGCTCTGAGTTTGACTGAGCCACAAGTGGTCGCGTTCAGTGGCCCTAATTAGGGGCTCAACGGGCGCTTGCTCTAAAAATGTAAATTGATTTTCTTACTTAACGTTCGCGCGAAGTGATTTTTATGAACTGTATATATATTTATATATACTGTACCCCTAGCTCGAACCAATATCGAATTCGAATAGTTTGCGAGTACAAAATGTCATTATCAAATTTTGTATGGAAACTTGAACAGCAGCGCCAAAACGGGCGTAACGAGAACTAAAAATCAGTATACATTTGACAATGACATTTTGCACTCGCAAACTATTCGAATTCGATATTGGTTCGTGCTAAGGGTACTGAGTTCGAGAAAACTAGTGATTTTCATACAAAATGTTGCAAATTTGCTCACACTTCTGATGCTGCTATGGAGTTTGACAGTAGTCTGACAGTTAATTTCGATATATCGCTTTATCATATCCCGTTTCGGTGGTCATGCTAGAGGGGCTGATGCGAAGAAAGCTTACGATACATGTGTGTTTTATTACGGTGAACATGATAAAGAGACCATGATATTCGCTTTCTCGTAATAATAAATAGGTACAGTAGAGAAATATTACCAAGTTCTCCTATTAATGGAAAGCTCAGTAGCATATCGTAATTTAATGTTACCTTCGTAGGATTCTAATCTCATTTAGATGATTTACGAATTGAGGCCCAACACAAGGTTTATTGGCCGTCTCGCTGTGTTAAGAGAACGGTAGCCCGGAATGCATACTGTAATGGCTATTTACGACATTATTCAGCACGCATGCTCCGATGGCTGTCTGTACTTAGGTACACAATAGGTTGCTTTTTATGCAACGTTCATAAATAGAGCCATGTGGTGGATTCTACGCATTTCCGTTTGGATACGTGAGATTTTAATTATTTTATAAATATAAGAAAAATCTTGCTCTAACTCGATCTTAGTTAATATTTAGTCGTTACAAAGCATTAATCATACTAATATTAAAAATATAAAAGTATGTTTGTTATTCAAGCATGCAAAAAACCTCTCAACGGATATGGATGCAATTTGGTACGCATATAATTTCTGACCTGGATCTAGACTTAGGATACTTTTTATCCCGGAAAATAGTTAGGTTTCATGTGGGATTTAAACAAAATAAAAATTAACGTGGACGAAGTCTTGGGCGGCCGCTAGTAATAGTAAATATGGTTTACATTAACGTACGAGTAGGTACCCAAAAGGGTCAGACATGTCAATGTAGAATGAAAATTTACAATGCAAAGTTGTAAATAGGCAAAATTATCATTAAATTTTTTTGCAGGTCGAATTGCGTTCGAGAAGCTGACCGATGTTGATTTCACTGGCACGGCGTATTATACCGTGCGCAACCTTTCTCTATACGAGTGCCAAGGCTGGTGCAGGGAGGAGCCAGACTGTCAGGCTGCGGCCTTCAGGTAAGCACAACTGTTTATTAATAATTCCATGTTATGTTTTATCTAGATTATATTTCAGTGTAAGTAAGCTTTGTAGCTAAAGATAATTTTACGAGACAAAATTTAACTCGGTCCTCATTCTTAGGCTGGATACGAGGAAAGAAAATCCAGTCGATTTATTTTTGTGAAAATTCCCATAAATTCTAGCAGTTTGATGCTTAAAAACATTATATAATGTACTCCTTGTTTTAACCAGTTAATATATACATCATATGTTGGCTAGATTGTCAGTAAAAATGCGATAGCATGAAAGAGTTATTGTTCATCAGTACCTTTATATCACTGATCCTTTAAAGACACTTCAAATTGAATTAGTTGGACATTAAATAGATATTAAATTGCAGTGAAATTCGTTAGCTTAACATGGATACTGTGTGTAAACGATATATGACGCATATAAAATGTTCTAACATACGACAGTGATTTCTCACGAAGAATTCCGCATGCCAGTTAATTCTATTTAGTCCACATTATCGGAATCATATCGGTCAGCAGATTTCAATCGCATCAAGTCATGATTCGTCATTCTTTGAGTGATCACGAAACAAATAAAAATCAACGTGTCGTTACTATCTCTGATCACGATGCTCCTGACCCGAATGTCACTGATAGTATCGGATTGACGTGAAGATCCACTAATTCCGCTGAGGTACAAGGGGCAAGAAAATCTGAGGTATCAGACGTCTACGCCACATATACGTGTAATGGGCAACTTAGATCGACAATAATGCGCGAACTAAGTTTGTTTTGGTTTAAATTGGAATTTCTTTCGTTTATAACATATGTTTCTAATACCATTAAAACAGTATGTTTTATTACATTTACGGGTAATTTGAATTAAGAAAAAACTAGCAAACCAGTGAACCAAATGTTCACCAAAACCTGATTTCTCGAAAACCGGAAAGTGCTACGTTACTCAAATCCGGTATGTAGTCTTATCAGACTATTCTTAACTTATAACTTAAATATTCTCTTTATCTATCTCTTACGGTTTGGCCGCTGAAACAGCACCACAGACAGACGGACGGACTTGTCTAATAGATAAAAGATAACCCTATCCGTGCCGCGTTCAATTCGGTTCCTGTCACACTGCGTGCATTATTGTTTTGACTATAATTAAAGTACCTATATTTTCGATCCAATTTCGTATACTTAATAAAGCTTGGTAATCCTACTTAGGGTTGCCACCTTTTTTAAGTCCAAATAAAGTACATTGGATATGAAAGGTAGAAAAAAAAGTACATTGTGTCCAAAATAAAGTACATTTTAATCCACTTTATTAGTAAGCTTAAAATATATTTTACGGTGCTTATAGCAATATTTAATAAATAATTTGTGGCTACTAAAAATCTGTAGTTCTTATCCGCAATGGGTAAGACCATTGTACAAAGCCATACAGCCGCGACAATGTTGCAGGAATGGGCTAAGGGCGACATATTATACATACTGTTGTTCCGTTTTACGCAAAAAATCTTCCTATCCTCTTTATTTATATTATATGTAAAATTAATTCCCAAGTAATCAAATCACATTAAATAAAGTATTTTCGCGTACTTTATTGTTGGCATAAAGTATAGAGTACAATTACCCGAAATAACGTACAATACTTTATAATAAAGTACGGGTGGCAACCCTAATCCTACTATAATATTAAACGTGAAAGGTTGCATGTTTGTTAAATAAAAATAGCTGAATGGATTTGGATGAAATTTAAAAAAAAATAGTTTATTACCGGGATTAAGACAAATGATACTATTTATAAATAGTTTTAGGTCCTCGAGAGATAGATACTCAAAATACTTAACTTTTTTAATTTATTCTAACAATAGATTACACACTTAAAATATTACAAATCAATTTCCTTTTGATTTACCGTTTTTACCAGAAACAAAACAATTCTACTCAGAGCTCCTGAGGATATGCCGTCCGCTGCGAGGATGCTACGATCCTGATGTGCCTCTTCACTTCTTCACCACTTGTCCATCACTATTTACGGGACTATCGGTGTTGGATCCATATCACAATGATCTTATTAAGAAAGTCTGCAGTTTGCCAAGTACTTACTTTGGAATTTAATTAAAAAGTAACAAAGCTTTTCTACCAGAACATGACTCGGAATAGTCTTAATGCAGCGCGTATCTAGCTTCGTTCGCTAATTAACAAGGATCTGAGATTAGGTATGTGTGTCAGTCTGCCTCACGTCCTCCAGTTGTGGCATCCCAATGACACGCTGTTGGCTAATAACAATGTGTCGCAGCACTAAGCCACAGACCGTGTAAAAGCGGAAACCGACTTCGCCGCGTTCCAAATTGGATAACAGTAAAAGTGATCGCATACGTCTTCAATAGATTATTGCCAGATGAACCATTTCCGATTTCACAGTTTTCATGACTATTGGCGGTTTGACACGGATTGTTTAATTTATCATTGTTTCGGTACTAATAAAACTAAATTGCAATATTTATAATATTAACTATTGTAATTATTAATAGAACGACAAAAATCCTAACAAGAGAAAAGTTGCCAGCAAGAATAAAAGTTGTGACTTAAAGAATGCTTACTTCAATGACAGTCTAAACTGAACAAACAATGCTAATTTTGAAGATGACCTAGTGAAAGTGGAAATAGAGAAACGCATTAAGAAGACTTTCATTAGTATCTATTGCAGTATTCTAACATTATTTATTTATAAACTAACATCATGAGACGGTAGCTGCGAAGCTAAAGGTATGTGTGGTAAAAGCCTATACGATTTACTGCCTACTTGTAATTGCTTATAAATATCCTTGACAAGCAAAAAATTATTGCATTGAAGTTTAGTGAGGCGGGTAACAGTATTACGACGCTAGTTAGATTCTTCAGAATCAATTTGAACGGGATCGATTGAAAATCAATTCGGCATTCAATTAAACGAGACGGAACTTTCCCGCGCTTCTAATCTAGCATTGTACTAACACGGTCCGTATCTCGAATCAATCTGTCCAAAGAAATAGCGATCTGACAAAAGAATGGGACGGATGTGATATTAACAATCAGTAACTGTTCACTGTGCCACCGACTTGCTCGTTTACGGTACAAAGATATGCTGTTAGACCACCATAAGCTCTTATCTCCGAAGACTAAAGTCCAAATCTGAATGGAAATCTGTTTCGCAGGTATGGGAAGACAACCGCTTGCAATACCGCTTCTCCGACAGCATAATCCAATAAAATCACGCACTAAAAATCTGTCTGAAACGTTTACTTGACCTCTCTATCTGATGTTGTGTCAAAGAGGCCGGATTGAAGATGAAATTTCGTGTGCTTTCATGATTCGCACATTATAGGGTATATACTGTTACTTACAATCGGAACAAGCTATTTGGTAGGATACCTACCAAGAGTTTACTAGAGAAACTTTCAACATCAACAACAGCTTTATAATGTCAAGGTCATTTGAATGCTTGTAATCTAGGCTATTTGCATAAGCAGCTTACGGTATTTCTTTTTGAGATGGAAAGTAACTTTAAAATTTCGAATTTCTACTCTATATCCTAAATAAAATATGGCATATATGTGAGAATAATTAGCGTAGCAATCTTAATATTTATGAGTGTTTGGATAGTGTGCTGAGGTGTGTTATTGACTACTTACGGTATCGGTATAGTGATTGATGCGCGGGTAAGTGCGCAGGCGCCGGGTCGCCGCTGCAACGAGGGCGATGAGGCGTGACTCTTAATTCTGTAATTTAAAATGAGATTTCTCGCCATTCACCTTGGCAAGAAAGGAATTTAATTCCGGTACGTCTCGGCAAATTATAATATGCTCCGAATAACAGACCATTAAAATATTACTAAAAAGTTGTGTTTGAATTATCATGATTATATTTAGGCATGAAATACAAAACATACTTACTTAAATGGATTCAGAATAATAAAACGACATCTCTACAGTAAGTTGTATAGTTGGCAAAATTATTATAGTGAAATGGTCGGCGGCTGAAATTTCAAAAATTAGATCTGATTTCAAATTCAGTTTCAGGCAAAAGATAAAGAGAAAAAAACCGTTTTTGTTTTAGGTGACCCTGACCCCTGGCCCTCGGAAAGTTCAAAAATTGGATCTGATATCAAATTCGGATTCAGAAAAAAAAAATTTTTTTTTGATAACTGTGACATCTAATTACGTCGGGGTAGCGCAGCGGGTGTGGCTCGATCCCTTCAACTATTATTTACATGAAATTGTATGAAATAAGGCTGACCGCAAATAGAGTCACAATGCATCACAGCTTGGCCAAAGAAGTTTTCCAATTGATCGAACAATAAAAATGAGTGATTACTCTTTGCTCGATGAATCGCACCAAAACGAAAAAGTTCATGTTTTCCGAGCAGACTGTATAGTTGAATAACGTGTTCATGTTTTGCATTTGTGCTTAGACAGAGGGAGTTGTTCGTTATCAAATCATAAAGATCACGTTTAAAAGTCTAATATATTACGTTTTAGTACTAATGTGAATTTCTTCGATGTAATCCAATGAGGGGTAAATGTTAATAAAATAATAATTGCCCAAAAACGAAGTGTACTGTTAAAAGGTTCATGTAAGTATTTATGTACATTAATAAAATAAAGTACGTCATTTTCTTAATTTAACTATATCTTTTTAATGTCTCAACAAAGGTAATTACCACATCATGATGACACGGCAAAGTTTTTTTAAACATAGAGTGATTCGTCGTTCACAAAAGCGAAAGTGCACAAATTTTACATATCGAGGGTGTTTAAGTAAAACAATAATTTAATCTTCGATACTTCACATTAAAAGTAAAAAACCTGTAAAAATGCAAATTAATAAAAAAACAAATCAGCTGCCTTTCCAGTTTACAAATTCAAAAACAAGTTCACGAAAGTCATTCAAGTCAGGAAATCTTAAGGTAACAAACATACAAGTGAGTTAGTAAAGCATTTATCAATTGAAATATCACAATC